TTGAAAGCTTTGGACAGGATATGATTTATGTGGTTGTTGAATCTTAATTGGGAATCAAAAATTACTCCCAGATCATTTATAAGGTCTACTCTGGGGAGCGGAGAACTTGAAATATAGTAGGTGTGCAATGTTGGGCGCTTTTTTCGAGAAAAAGATATTGATTTACATTTGGAGATGTTTAATTCTGTTCCATTAGATGTGCACCATTCTGATATTTTATCGATCTCGAGCTGTAGAATTGAACAATCGAGACTGCTAGTGATTTTCCTAAAGATTTTTAGATCGTCGGCGTAAAGGAGGAAATGGCAGTTGGTAAGTACGTTGGCTAGGTCATTGATGAACACAAGGAACAATATAGGACCTAGATGAGAGCCCTGGGGTACTCCGGATGTCACCATTATTTTTCTTGATATGGAACCACCAAACCTGACGAATTGTGTTCGGTTACAAAGGTAACTTGCTATCCATGTTAGAAGAGGATCTGTGACGCCAAATGATTCAAGTTTGCTGATCAAAATAAGATGGTCAACCCTGTCGAAAGCCTTTCTAAAGTCGAAATAAACTGAGTCGACCTGGTCCCCTGAGTCAATAGCTGCAGACACGTATTGAGAGTAAAGGCATAAATTTGTCTGGCATGAGCGACCGGACAGGAAGCCGTGCTGATTTTCAGAGAGGCAGTTGTATAGAGTTGACAAAAGCTCATCATTTACTATGGACTCGAAAACCTTGGCCATGCAATCCAGGCCCGAAATTGGGCGGTAGTTAGCGACGTTTCCCCTCTCACCACCTTTGAAAATAGCAGTTACGATGGCAGTCTTCCAGAGGTCCGGAAATTTTCCAGAGCTGAGAGAGAGTTGAAATAGGGTGTTAAGTGGAGATGTCAGGGTCGGACAACAATTTTTTACGAAGATTGGGGGTATGTCATCTGGTCCTGCTCCTTTTTTTTCATCCAATCCAATTAGTTTTTGGAGCACAATGTCGCAGTTAACTCTGATAGTTGAAAGGACAACATTATTAATATAAAAACGTAATGGGTTAATAGTGATTGCGGGATCAGAAACTGTGAATGTAGACTGAAAAAAATCTGCGAAAAAATCCGCGATGACTTTGGGATCACTAGAGTCAGCGTTATTGAAAGTCATTTTCGCAGGATAGCTGACAGAATTACGTTGAGACTTTATGTAAGACCAGAACGCTTTAATGTTATTCAAAATATTATTTTGAGCAGTTTGGACGAAGGAATCGTAGTCCCTCTTTATCGAGGTTTTTGATTCTGATCTCAGTTTTTTGTACTGAAGCTCGTCTAAGTTTAATTTCGTTCGTTTATGTTTTTTAAAAGCTTTGTTTTTCTTGTTAATTAGAGCTATTGTTTTTTTAGAGAAATAGTTAGGGTATTTTAGCGTAGAAATTCTTGTTTTTGGAACGTACAGGTCGATTGCGATGTAAAGTACAGTATAAAACATTTCCAGGGCGTTATCAATGTCTCCGCACTGCAAAAAACTCCAATCGATAATTTCGAAGTAATCGTTTAAGTGATCGTAGTTTGCTTTATGAAAGTTGTACTTAAAAAGTTGCAAATCCGATGCATTATCCTTTGTAGCATCAATACAGAACCCAATTACTAAAGCAGGATGATGGGTATCAATACAGGTTAAAGGTGACATATTATTCGATACAGATACATTTGAGAAGTTTGAGAAAACAAGGTCCAGTTTTGCATTATTAAAGTTGGAGACATTATTGTACTGGACAAGATCGTAAAAACACGCACAGTCGTAAAGTGTTTGTTCCCGTTGATCACTGGAAGTGAAGATTTTATTGAGTTCATCGTCACCACCAGCTGAACATAGGTTAATGTCATTGTTATTAACTATGTCGGATGCACAAGTTTCAACTTTGGCAAATGAGTTTGCATAGTTCGGAAGGTTGAAATCTCCCAGTAATAAAACATTGGACCTTGGAAAACGGTCTAGCATATAACTTACTGAAGTAACGAGGTTATCATAGACTACTGCCTTAGAGGATGGAGGTATGTAGATAGCCGCCAAAAGGTTGTTGATGTTCCCGCACCGTAAGCTGACCCAGACTTGTTCTACTTCATTGTCTGGCACTGTGCAGGTTGATGATTCAAAGGAACGTTCTACTGCGATAATAACTCCACCACCTCTTGACTTTTTTGTTTGTTCTGGGTTTCTATCTCTTCTATACACAACATAGTTTGGAGGAAATAATTCTTCACTAGTGATTCCTTCATTCAGCCACGTCTCCGTCAGTACAATAACGTCATGATTACAATTTATCACCTCCTGCTGGAATGCCACAGTCTTGGATCTCAGTCCACGGACGTTCTGATATGAGACTGTGATCTGTTTATTATGTGAGACTGCGCCGATACAATTATTTGTTTGAGGGGACGTGACGGTAGCATTTGGTTCTGGGTCACCTAACGTAGGGTAAGCAAGTGATTGCCTGGAGGAAAATTTTGAGGGGCCAGCAATTCGTTGCAGATAAACTTGATTATTCTCCGTTTGATTTCATAGTGTAGGGAGCCGTTGTAACTACGTTCGTAGGTGGACATGAAGCTGTCACAGGATATTTGAGAACAATCTATACATCTCTGCTGCAGTTGTTTTTTTATGCCCAAGTTAAAATCATAAATAAAGTTGTTGAGAACTTTCCTATTATCACAGTATGGAGGAGTGACTATTATCAGATTAGTTCTTTTGGATATATCAGCGATTTTGTCCCAGCAGGAGTCATTGATGGTGACATTCCCCTGCAAAGCATTAGCCAACCCAGCAAAGAGGATGACAAAATCCTTTTTCGAGAAGTTCTTGCATAATGGACTGAATTGTTCGACGAGTGTTTGCACTGGTACGTTTGAGTCAGAGTACTGAAAATTCATGTCGTATCTGCTCTGAGTAAAAGATTTGGCCATCAGCCCAGATCCACTCACACAAGACTTATTACCAAACAGTAGAATCTGATGTTTGGGTATTTTGGATTCAGTAGGTTTTGAGTTGTTCAGGATGGAAGTTGGTGATGGGTCTGGAATAAATCTATCGATGCCGATACACAACTCGTTCTTTAGCTTCCTGATTTCCTCCATGTAGAGATTATTCTGCACTGTCAGGGTCTCTATTGAAGTCAGGAGGTTTTTATTTAAGATAGTGAGGTCGTTTATCTCATTTGTGGCTTCAGTGAGTTCGTTTTGACATGTTATCAATTCCTCTCCAGTGACATATTCCTGTATACTTGTTCCGGGTGATTGTTCCGAGCAGTTTATTTGGTTGCTAATGGTTTCTCTATTGTTTGAAACCTGAAGAAGAATAAGGTCTTTGGCTTTTATCTCATTTTGTAACTCTAAAAGTTGATTTTTCAAGTCATTGCCTTCTGAAGTCAGTTCGACCTTCAATCTTTTTATCTCGTTGTCCTTCTCTAAATTTGCCTTTGCCAGTTGACCCATAGCATTTTCTAGCTCCGCGACCTTTTCTTCACATTTCCGTTCAAAATCTTCAAAATATCGATCTTTGTTCTTAATGTCTACTTTGAGTTTATTGTACTGTACAATCAATTCTCCCAGTTTAGGCAGGTCTGTTAGATTTTGTCTGCAATCTATGCAGTAAAACAGTAAGATTCGTTTTTGCGTGAGGGCCACTGAGTGAGCTTCAGTAGTACTAAGGTCTGAACATTTTCTGCACCATACAATTTTGCAGGAGTCACAAGGTGCACCGAAAGTTTCATCGTCTTTGGGTCTTGGCTTGAAGATGCAGGGCTGTTTGCAATTCTTACATTCCAATAGAGGCATGGCAAGAACAAACTCTATGTTGTCAGCTCTGTTGTCAGCTGGTGATAAATGGTTTTAAAGTAAATATAGACTACCTTTTTTTTTATTTTTTAACTGTTTTTATAAGTATATTAATGTCAATTTTATTTTTTTTTGTTTTTCAAACTATAGTTATGTCTAGTTGTAAGATCTCTCACATGTAATTACCTCTGTGTGTTTGTGGGATGTACCTTTAAATAAATAAATAAATAAATAAATTTCCGCACGTGGCTGACGTTCACCGAACGACGCGTAGCGGAGTTCGGTGAAACAGCCGAGTGTTGCCGAATTCCTTTTAGTTTATTAAATACAGGTTCATAACTTGGGCCGAATTAAGGTAAGATTTTGGTAAAAATCACTTTTTATCACTTTTTGGAGCAGAAACGTCGGTCAATCATACTCAAGAGTCATATCATTAGAAAGGGAATAAAAAGCGCTTTCTCAAAATGACATAAAAAATCCAGGTCTGTATTTAAAAAAATAAAGTTGATGATGGTAGCTCGATCCCGAAACGTCTGATTCAAATTTTGAAGATGCTGTGTTGTAGAGCGAAAAAAATTAAAAAACCATCAAATTCAAATTGTGTCTCCAAAATCAATAGTTTTCGAAATAATTGATGAAATATTTTTAGGCGTTTCTTAGAAATCAGCCTGTATTTAATAAACGAAAAGGAATTTGGCAACACTGTAAGCAAGCCTTGAATGGGCATCAAAAAAGGCAACTTTTTCCTAATTTAACCGACCTTGTAACTTTTACCGTTTCGGATATAGGAATAGTGGTATCACCTAAAATAAACACCCTGTATAGATTTGCGTTCCCCAAGTAACCGGAATTTTCAGTAACCATCTATCAACCGATTCGGTTACTTGGGTTAACGTTTGGTTATATTCGGACCATAGCCTAAATTCTGATTTGGCTGAGTAACTTTGTTATGTCATGTGACATGTTTTATCTTTTCTTATGTTGTTATATTTATCATGTGAACCTACCATAATTCTCTTTGAAAATAAATATTACTAATTCTAGGTTCTAATAATACATAAAAATATAAATCAAAAATTATGATACAAAACAGTTAAGTAGGTATCTGGATTTTTACCAACCCTGATAAAATTTGGCATTAATTATTATAAATTCTTCAATGTTAATAACGTTAATAGGGTTGTAAACTTACCGTCAGGAGAAACCATCATTTTATCGAGCCCTTTGGGCCCCAAAGAAGTCTTCACAGTGTTTGCAATTTGCCTAGCAGCCAAAATGTGACTCTGAAATATAAATTAAATATTTCAGACCTACTACATCCTATATAAATCCTAATAAGGGCCATTTGAATCATTTTAAGGGGCTTTTTTCGAGTTTGAAAAACCAGATGTAAACATTGAAGAAAGTCTAACCTCACCTTTAGGGCGTCGATTCCGGTCAGTCTTTTTTGTTTGTCCTGATCCCGCAGGATGATAAAGGGCCTGCCGTACTCGTCGAAGGCAATACTGCCCGGAAAACCCGCCATAATTAATTAATTCCTGGCACTTTTCTGGATGATTTAAGATTCGTTTTCCGGATTTCCCAAAAATTAAATTTTTATTTGTTGTTGAAGAACTGACAGCTGACGTTCTTCTTTGACAGTTGTAGCTTTAGTAGGTTACTGCAAGTGCAAGACAAGGATTACAGATTTCTTCTTTTTTGATGTATTTGTAGGTAGAGACCTCTAGTGGCCTAAGTTTAAATTAATATAAATAGGATATAAAAGCTCTGTTCCAACCCGACATGAGAACCGTTCTAGCCTTGTTCCAACAGACATGAAAACCGCTCTAGAACGGTAATTTCCAGTCGATCAATTGATTTGTCAATTAGGATAAATGTTCAACGTATATTGAAAAGTAGGTGGGCAACTGGATATTACTGGTTTTGGAATGGTTCTTATGTCTGTTTGAACAGAGCTATTTTATTATTAATATTAATTTATTAATTATTCAATAGCTTGAGATAAGGAAATACCTACATATTTTTGACTATAAGCGGTTCTTGATTGGTTCTAGGAAAGTTTTCTAAAGAATCAAGAGCAGGAGCCGGTAATAGTTCAAATTTTGATCATCTGTGGCTCTTGATCCTTTAACCATTTTCATGTGGCATAAAGGTATGTCTACAGTGACTTTATTACCACAGTGGCGACAATTGCGGTCTCATTTTTGATTGGTTCAAAAATCCCATATGTTTATATTGAAAATGCCGCCATCTTGTTCCCAACCTCTTGTTACTTTTAAATATGAATATATAGGATTTAGGTGAACATCCATCATAAAACATGGAAAACAACGTAATTGATGAACCTAATAATGGTCATCAAATATGCCGATTTTAATTTTTTATGATAGATGTCTATTTAAATCTTATATATTAATATTTGAAAGTAACAGGAGGTTGGGAACAAGATGGCGGCGGGAACTCTATTGTCGCCACTGTATGTAAAGGTTTATTTAGCCACTGTAGGTATGTCATTTCTCTAACCGTTTTGTAACCCGGTTAGTTAAACCGGAGCCACGTGAAAAGAACTATTGGATAATTTTTCTTGAGCCAATACTTCTTTTCACGTGACTCCGGTTTAAACTAACCGGGTTACAAAACGGTTAGAGAAAGACATACCATTTTCTAACCCGGTTACAAAGTGACGTGATAGATATCTACCACTCGAATTTGAGCGGTATGTTGCGGTTTGTTAATCCGGATACACGTGAAAAGGGTTGATTAGAAGAAAGAAAAAAACAGCGTTCACATGGAGCAATCTACTGATATGAGTTGACAGCTCTGCACATTATCTGTCTCTCTTCAAATGTAAAAGATGAAAAGAGATGGCGACTGTAGAATTTTGCATGGCCTACTAATTTAAAATCAAATACAAATTTAGGCCTTATTCATTTATTTATTTATTAATAATATATAAACCAATATAACAAATTAAAAATCTCAAAATAAATGGCACTCACACAATGATAATAATAAATCTAAATGCTTTCAAACAAACGCGAGGAATGTCCTTAAAAATAAAAAAGTTACAAAAAACTTAAATCCCCTATACCTATTTCTCTCTATTAATAAATGTTAGTTTTAAAAAAAAGGTACAAAATATAAAGAGTAATAAATCAAAAACCATCTCCCAAAAATAATTTAAAAATATTATCGACAAGCATCACAAACTCTGACTGGTGCGTCCCATCCCTTTAACGGCACCGATTTTCTGGAATTGGAACAATTGTCGCAAACCCCTTTGCCGCAATCCCTGCAATGGTGCAAAGGCAAAAGGGGCCCGAACGATTGTTTGCACAAGAGGCATTCGATACATTCAATGTCCGGAGTCCAATAACTCGGCCTGGCAGATTCCTTTATAAAGCCTTTAGGAATATCCAGAACTGACTTGACAACGGAAATTCCTCCTGCAACAGTTTCGCTTATGTACCTGTACCTTACTTCGGTTGATTCTTCTCCAGTCATTCCAGTTAGGATACTTTGGCCTCTGCCTTCAAGTTCCTGTAAAAATTAAAAATTGCAGTTATTATATTGGGAAGAAATCATATATCAAGTTAGAGCGTTTTTGATTGGTTTGCGATTTGTGTGAAAACACATAGTGGGACTTACTGTGTAGCACCCGTCACAAACTCGGACCGGATCCGTCCAGCCTTTTTGAGGCACCGGGCATTTTTGCGACGAACAAGCTTCGCAAAATCCCTCGCCGCAGCTTCTGCAGTGGTGCTTGGAAGGGACGATTCGGTTTTGTCCGCTCACGAAGGATATGTTGCAATTAAAACAGGCCTGAAATGAAAGTGTGAAACTGAGAAACTGATAACATAAATTTTTAATAAATAATAAATACAATAAAACTTTCATCTTTTTTTTTACATAATAAATAAATAATACATCTACTTCAACCAAAATAGGTTTACAACAAGCGAACTACCTCTTGATTCTGGGAACATTGACATACTGGCATTGAACATGAGATCTAGGAATTTCTCATTATTCGTTCTAGTGTGTGTGTCAGACCAAATGATTCCCTGATAGATGATAATCTAAAACTCTTCACAAATATCATAACAAGCCTTATTGCGAACAACCAAAATTCTATTATAGCTGGCGACTTTAACCTTCCCAGAATTTCGGGCAGACCTTTTAGGGGAAAGTCTAACAAACGTAGGTCTCAGATCATCACCAAACCAACCCGTAACAACTATTTCTTCGTCAATTATTAATCCATTGACATTGACCTCAGAGCAAAAGGTTATGGGTCCAGGTCACGTAAATCGAACGGAATTGGTCCTATAGAAGCGAGTAAAAAGAAAATGAAAACAAACATTTTTCGAACTAAGAAAAAAACCGAAAAGAAAAATGGAAAATCAAACAGCTACTTTGAAGTTTATTGGTGAAAACTGGGTAGTTTGCAAATTTGAAACCCATAAGTAGTTTTGAAAAGCCGGGGGTATTTTGACATAGTGTCGGAAACACAGTTGAGGCCAATGGCACAAGGTAATGAATAAAATAAATGGAATTCCCAAGATGCAAAAACACAAGAAGTGATTGTGACGAGGATGCAACAAGGACCTCTAAAGGCCGTTTTACAGCTTGCAAGAAAACTTGAATGCAATTTTTTACATGCAAAAATTGCAAAAAAATGCATTCAAGATTTCTTGCACGTCGTTTTACACCTTGCAATTTGAGTTGTTTCCTTCTCTAACCTTAATTAAGCCTGCCATACCTCCCGTATTATACAGTCCCTTATTTCAAGGTCCATGTCCCCAAATTTGTTGTCGGGACGCGTAAATGTCCCGTATTTTCTGTTATTTTAAAAAGCATAAAATAATTCGATTTTTGCGTCTCATTCCTAGTCTCTGCGGTAGTATTAGTAAATCGATTTTTGCGCCTCATCTCTAGTCTCAGCAAATCGCAACATATGCAACATGTGATCGGTTATTCCATTGGTTATTCAAAAGCATTTGACATTTGACAGTTTGAAATTTGGCGGGTTCGGCCCAAGGATAATACAATGGATCAAGGTTGTTTAAAAAAAGGGAGGTTGCCTGATAACTTTTATGACGTCATCTGTATGCCTTAACATAATGCAAAACTCCATAAGGCACCCCAGATGCGTCATCAAATTACCCGTTACCAGAAAACCTATTAGCTTATTAAGGAACCTTGAGAATGGATAATAATCGCCGCCATATTAGTGTGTCACCATGTCCGACGTCAGACGTCATTTACTAAGTCCGAAAGTCGTCAGCTATTTGCACTAGAGGTCGTAGTTTAGAATTTAATGTTAATTAATGTAGTAAAACCAAATATGCCTAAAGCAAAAGCCCACGGAATCATAATCACTGTCTGTGGTGCAAACAGCCTACGTCAATGCGAGAAACGACATGCTGCCTACGTCACATCTGGTGATTTGGCGTGGTGGGGGGCTTCAGATTTGCTTCATACAGGTCTTACGAGGATAGGCTATCCTGTAGTAGTAGTGTGTATTTTTCCTGGTATTGTCCTTGGGTTCGGTTTACGGATAAATACATGAGACTTCCTTAAAAATGTCCCGTTTTTTTATCAGAATAATATGGTAGGCTTAACCTTAACCATACTTTTTTGTTTTTAATTTTGTGTTGTTGATGTTTGCATTTTACAAAAATGAAAAAAGTTACTATAAGTCGATATAAGAAGAAGAAAGCAATAGCAGCAACTTTAAGCATCATAACTGCTTAAAAATTCCCCAGCTTGCGCGACAACTTTCAAGAAAAATGGCACCAAACCGATTGCATGAAATGCCATTCAAGTTTCAAGAATCATGCAGAAAACAATCAGCTGACTTGAGGCCGTTTTACAGCTTGCAATTCTTTCTACAATATGCAAGAAACTTGAACGAGGGCATGCGCAGAAGTGAGTCAGCTGATTGGTTTCTGCAAGATTCTTGAAACTTGAATGGCATTGCATGCAATCGGTTTGGTGCCATTTTTCTTGAAGGTTTTTGTGCAAGCTTGGGAATTTTTAAGCAGTTATGACGCTTAAAGTTGCTGCTATTGCTTTCTTCTTTTTATATCGACTTATAATAACTTTTTTTATTTTTGGAAAATGCAAACATCAACAACAAGGTGTAAAACGACGTGCAAGAAATCTTGAATGCAATTTTTTTGCATGCAAAAAATTGCATTCAAGTTTTCTTGCAAGCTGTAAAAGGGCCTTCTCACTTCTGCGCATGCCCTCGTTCAAGTTTCTTGCATATTGTAGATAGAATTGCAAGCTGTAAAAGGGCATTAACTCATATTTTAAGCTGTGATACATCAAAGTATATGTGGTTCAAATTAAACTTGATGTATGTCAAAGAATTCCATAAGGCGAAAAATATGAGGTTCGTCCTAGGTAATGTAAAGAAATCGATCAAAAAATTGTAAAATAAAAATACTGACACGTTTTTAAGATTTATTCATGAAATAATTTTTTTTTATTAATCTAATATTTATTATTTATTCTTGCATGAACATAAAGTTTAATATCTTCTTCGTAATCGTGAGTGAATCTTCTGGCTATCAACTTTTCCTCCTCTCCAATATTTAGTATTGGTATGATTAGGGCTCTCGGGAACAGGGTAGAACGCAGACTCCGATTGAGTTCATTTTTGGTATACATATAAAGGCCGCTGAAAGAAATTTTTCCAAGAAAAAATTGACCTTAGCCGCGACCTTGACCGTGACCTTGACCAATGAAATTCACATAAATAACAATTTATCGTGCTGAAATTATGTATAGCGCCGAAGAGCATCATGAATAACCCACACACCGAGTTTTAGCCTTCAAGGTCATACATATTCAGAGACGCGGCAACCCCGCATTCTCAGTTTAGGCTCTCGGGAATGGGCTAGAAGGCGTAGTCCAATCGAGTTCATTTTTGGTATACATATAAAGGCCGCTGAAAGAAATTTCCCCAAAAAAAAATTGACCTTGGCCGTTGGCCATGAACTTGACCGTGACCTTGACCAGTGAAATTCACGTAAATATCTATTTATCGTGCTGAAATTATGTACAGGGTGGGCCAATTTGGACACTTTTAATAGGAAACATCATGATATTAAATATTAATTACTTATCTAAAACTGGATACAGTGTACTGATTAACAACGACAACCAAGCGCGACAAGCTAGATAAAATAAAAATGTTCAAGGATACTAGCATGCATTTCAAGAATGGGTTAATTTGGGTTGTTTTGCATTATTTTGTAATTCTCGATTAGATAGGTTTACGAGGACTAGCACGCAGTACAAAGACGGGTAAGTTTGGGTTAGTTTGCATATTTTTGATCAGTTTCGATATAGCACAGTTATTGTCGGTTAAAGTGTACCAATTTCAAATTTCAGTAGATTATACGCTTTATCATTACTCAATAATGTTTTTTTCAAAAAATGGTTTGAACACTTAGCTCTTCTCTTCATTCGAATATCTACCACATGAAGCTTTTTACGTTTAATAAATTTTTATCTGCTAAACAGAGCGATTCTGATATTAAGCTGATAAGAATAGATATTATATATTGATCTGTGTCAAAGGTCGAGAAGAGGATTCATTCAATATTTATAAAATCCAATTTATAGTTATTTGCGCCAACATTTTCGATCATAAAACAATATTTTGGGATCAAACTAAACTATCTATAATGAAGAAGCATGATATTTTTTTTGAAGGACCTTTACTGAACTGTTACCTTTTACGGCCTTTATATGTATACCAAAAATGAACTCAATCGGACTACGCCTTCTACCCTGTTCCCGAGAGCCCAAACTGCGAATGCGGAGTTGCCGTATCTCTGAATGTGTATGACCTTGAAGTCTAAAACTCGGTATATAGGTTAGGTTACTTGAGATGCTTTTCAACACTATACAAGTTTTCAGCACGTTAAACTGCCATTTACGTTAATTTGATGGTCAAGGTCAGGATCAAGGTCACAGTCAAGGTCATTTTTTTTTTGGAAAAATTTCTTTCGACCTCCTATATACAGGGTGATTCAAAAGTAAGCGGCATCCTTTCGGGGGCGTATTCCTAAAAATAAGACAAAAAGTTCCTATTAACATGGGTCCGAAAATGCTTCCTAAGGGAGCTACGCCCCTCCGAATAGGACACCTTATAACTTTGAAACCCTTCACAAATGGATTTCAAAAATTGGTTTATTTTATAAACATTTGATGACAATTGAGATACTAAATTGGAAATTCAAAAATCTTGATCAGTGGCGTCACTACTGGGGAGGGTGAGGGTTAAAACGTAAAACAGAAAATTTTCAAAGTCAATTTTCTCGTAAACGGTACGCTGTATCGAATTGAACCAAGAGTACCTTTTCTGTGTAAAAAACTTGAAACTTTCCGAATTTTTAATCAGAATTGCAAAATCTTGAATATTAAAAAAAATAGGGATGTTTTAGCCCTCACCCTCCCCAGTAGTGACGCCACTGATTAAGATTTTTGAATTTCCAATTCGGTATCTTAATTGTCATCAAATGTTTATGAAGTACACCAATTTTCAAAATCCATTTGTGAAAGGTTTCAAAGTTATAGAGAAAAACACGTCTTTCAGGTGTCCTATTCGAAGGTGCGTAGCTCTCTTAGGAAGCATTTCCGGACCCATGGTAATAGGAACTTTTTGTCTTATTTTTATGCAAGGAATACGCCCCCGAAAGGATGCCGCTTACTTTTGAATCACCCTGTATGTGTACCAGAAATGAACTTGATCAGAAAACGCCTTATAGCCCGTTCCCGAGAGCCCAAAAATTACCTTAGTATTTCATCACGATTCAACCTTCGATAAAGTTTTGATGAAAGTGGTTTTCCCAATCTGCGTAATTATTGTGCTTCTTTAATTTCACTAATAATGTTTTTATAATCACCTTCTAAGAGGAGTGTAGACCTAATGTTTGACTCTATATAAAGTTTATTTAAACCATCTTCGAATTCTTTTTTAAGATTCTCTATTGATTCGTCCATTTTTTATCGAAATTTCACTTAAAACTTTGAGAAAGGACAAATAAATAAAAAAAAACTAACACCTGCTGACTGTTGCTGCCGATTAAATGAACTAAGGTTATGTATTTTCGGGTTGTGGGTATTTATTATTACCCATCCCATAACACGAAAACCGTCGCGTATCTCCGCCGATAATCGTGATTTCGCGTCGTGGGTTTTTCGAATTTACACACAACGCGTTTTGGGTACATAAAATATACCCGTAACGCGATGTGGAAAATTCAAAAGATCCACATCGCGTTGTGAGTATAAAATTCGGGCAGTGACCGTTTTCGTCAATTGAGTACAACATAAACAACACATAGAAACCTGAAGTACAAATAAGAATCAAGGAAAAAGTGAACGAGGGAATCGTCGCAACCGTGTCCCTGAATCAGGGACCGACTATTGTAAAAAACAACTGGAACAGCTTTGAGGACACCATCGTAACTGTCACAAACAACGAAATTGAATCATCAAACAACAAGATGAAAAAATGGATGACAAAGGAAATATTGATAGGATGAACGAAGAACGTTCAACAAAGAGCCAAGGAACAATGGTTACAAGAAAAGTGCACAGAATTGCTAGAATTGCAGGAGAAGAATGGACACTTTAACACCCATACATTACTGAAAGAAGTTACAGGCAGAATAAAGCCTTGCAATTTGAGTATTATAGTGAAGGTTTCATCTCTGATCCCAAAGAACTCCTCTGCCATTGGAAGAAGAAAAAACTCAATGATCAGGACCAAATGATTCAGATACAGGGGAAATAAAACTGCTAAATGACAAGAACGTAGACTCCATGTAAAAATATTCAACAACATTTACCTATCAGACAAGCGAGATACAGGACTGGCTCTAGTCAATTTTTGTACCGATCACAAAAACACCAAACACAAACCACTGTGATCAGTTCCGAATGATCAGCTTGGTTAGTCAAGTCTTGAAAATGTTCCTGAAGATAATCCATACAAAAAATTCACAACACATTTGGATTCAGTACTTCCCAGTCTAACCGTATTAGTTCAGAAATGCAGAGACCAGCGTAAGGACTTTTTCAGGCGTTTCATAAATTTATCAAAAGGCGTTCGATTGTAAGTCCGTTCTCACAGAAATCACCAACCAGCCAGGGCGTTTTTGATTGGTCCAAAGCGACAAGAACCGGTTTTCAACCAATAAAATTCGCTCGGGGACTGCTTCGTGATTTCTTTGAGAACACACCTAAAGTCAAACACCCTAATAAAGATGATTCAACATTGGAACATACCCCAACACGTCAAAAACCGTCCCATGAACTAACAAATATTTGGTTTTGTACAGAATCGTGACGGTACATTGTACGGTTTTCTGCTGTGTTGGGACAGAGCTAAGATAGGATAATAGATAAGAACGATCTACGATTTATTAAGAATCTTATACATAAATCAAATAGCATCGGTAAGAATAGGAAGTGACACTACAAAGAAATTTCCGATAGAAAGGGGAGTAAGACAGGATTGGGTTCAGTCTCCACTACTCTTCAATCTTTACTCTGAAACGGTTTTTTTCAAAAGTGTTCTGGACCGTACTAGAATGTTCTTGGAATTCTAAATTTTTGTAAATAACCGTTAAAAATTCAATTTTCTGAGTCATATTGAAGTTCCAAATTTTTTGAAATGCTTGTAAATATTCTAACCGAACCAGCTACTTTGAGGCGAAATTCAATTCAGCTGAACTTCCTACCTTAACCTAAACTAGATGAACAATTCTTACCCTTATTTCGTGATTGGGTCTCCAATAGCTCGGCGCAATACGATCATTCATCCAATCAGTAATATATTTTGCCGGTTGCGAGCCGACACTACTCACAGCGTCAGCAATACCAGTAACCCCATCTACAACCTTCTGAGCACTATTGTAAGTACCAAAAAGCACCCGTTCCTGAAAATGAGATTTGTCCTAATAATCGATTGAGTTAACAGCTCGAGTTCAACTTACTCCCGGCCAAATGTGCACTGTTTCCAACTGTACGGCGTCATCTTCGGGGTTTTTGTTGCCGTACCAATGTTGCCGGCTTCTATATATTTCGCCACATTTAGGACATTCGATCAAATAACCTGACCAAACAAAATTCAAGTATGAGGACCATGAGTATTCGTTTGCTGGTTGGTAGCTGGGCTTCACTATTACTCTGTTGCCGTTTTTCAGGCACAACTGAAACAGTTTGAATCAAATTTTGTAAGTCAAGAGTTGTTGCTTACCTTGCACAAATACACACAATTCTGATACTGATGTTGAAATTTGCACAATTCAAGGCAAACATGGGCTTCGCCGTCTTCTTTGTGGCCCATTGACAAGCGACAGCCTTCTTTACAAGACAAACATTTGTCAGGACATGTGAAAAACTGAGTCAAATATTGTTGATGATTTGTATCGTTGATGGGCGATTGAAATTTTTCGTTTAGACTTTTAAGCATCAAGTAAATGTATTTAGCATCTCTTGGCGATCGCACTTCAGAGCTTTCTAGTTGTTTTTGGACTTCCAACTTCAATCTGTCGAATGATGTGTGAGATTGTAAGGAAGTTTTAACCCCTATATACTTGATAAAGCTAAAAGCTTCACAATTTAAGTCCAATTCGGCAAAATTTTGCCTTAAAATATCTTCAGCGGATTGATTAACGCTGGCTTTATCATGCAAATCATCCAAAGTGTTTGTGTAATGGGTTTCATGAAAAATAATCACCCCAGGGCCAAGATTAATCTTTTCCCCATCAGTTTTACTTAAAGTCTTCCTTAATGCTGCACTAAAATGTTCTTTATAGACATTAGAAGCACCACCCAAAAACGAATATAAATCCCTTTGAAGCCTTTCAGCTCTTGTCCTGTAAATAATTATATCCGAAACTGCAAGGACTTTGAGCAACAACCTGGCCCGTTGATTTTCTCGTTTTGTTATTCCTAATAATCCTTCAGTGTCCAAGCAAATCACGTTTAATTTTGGTTCGTATTTGGCCCACACACCCAGAGTGCAAGAAGTTTGAGAGGGCGAAGTTGTAAAAACTTCTTCTCCATCGAAAAACACTTTGTTTAAAGTGTGGGATTTGCCTTCGCCAGTGTTGCCAAATATCGAAACAACTTTTACTTTTTTTCCAGGTTCTAGCTTGAGAGTTTTTAGAAAGGCTTGCTCGGATTTGATGCATAAAGTTTCACTGTCGTCTAGTAAAAGGATGCTTTTGCATCCGTTATTTTCGGGTTCATCTAAAATTTATTATAATAATTTAAGAAATTATTTTATTTTATATAAATTACCTGCTCCTAATACTAAAGAATGTAAATCGTCTAAATCGTCTGCAAGTTGATTGTAAATTTTCTTGGGTGTTTTCTCGGTTTGTACCTTAGCAGGATCCAGTGAGCTTAGGATTAAAGCGGAGGTTTTAGGGCTGTGTTTTTTTCTAGATTCCTTCACTAAGGAGTCCATGATGGTGTTCGACTTAAGGCGCTGGTCTAGAGAAAAATCTGCAAGAGATTTCTGGGTTTTAATAAAAATGTTTACAGTTTTTTCATGCAACTTTGATTTGAAGTTTCAAATTAACTTTTCCATATGAAAAAAACTTGATTCATAAATCCTGAAAGTTTCAAATCACTGTGATTATTGGAAATATTTTGCACCAAGTGATTTTTGCATATTTTTATCATTTTTAGCATGAATTAACGTGAGAAAAGCTTCTAAATTTAGTTTGGAACTTCAAAGCAACTTCTAGTAACTTTTCCACAAAACGGAAACCTCGATTTATAAATCCTGAAGTCAAGTCACTGTGATCATTAGAAGTATTGTTCGTCGATTTTTAACTGACACTTGCCATATGAGGAGCGAGGGGATGTGTCATATGGCAAAAACAGGTATAACGTCAGGTAACCATTGGCATTCTAATGTAGAGAGCCACCAGCTCATATTCCGTCCGAGTATCAGATTAAAATCGACGGACAATACTTTGCAAAAGTGAATTTTGCAGGTTTTATTCATTTTTGCATGCATTAAATCATTGGTTCAAAAACTCTTTATTTTTATATTAGAACGACTGATTAATAAGTTACTTGCTGCAAAACTCACTCCGCTCGTTCCGTCCCGCTAGGTTCAAAAATGAGTAAAACTCAATTTACTCATGAAATGTACTTTCACTACTTTCTACTCATTAGTCTAAAATTTCATTCATTCTCAGTGGGATTTTGTGGAACTCCAGTAGGATTTTGTAGAATTCCAGTAGAATTTCGTGGAATTCTATTAAAAGTGGGATTCTGGTGTTCAAGGTGATTCATGGAAGAGCGCTACTAAGCGAATATCGCCACCTGGTATTACTATATTCTCTTGTAATGAAACTTTGTGTACACCTTAATAAAGACATTTTCAATTCAATTCAATTCAATTCAATTCAATTCACCCCTAGCATATTTATATAATCTTCATCAGAACTGAATGGCTCTTTGGGATAAGAGAAAATTGAATCATTTATCTCAAATAGTTTTCGAGATATTGAGCCTCAAAGTTGAAACTTAGCTTCAAAGCTAATTTTCTTGAAAACGAAGCCCTAATTCATTTATTGGTAATCATTGCACATAGGAGCTTTCACAAGTCAGAAAATTTCAAGTAGGTACAGGGTGTTTCCTTATATTTCGACCCCTACCTACATCTTTAGCTATACAAGGTGGAAAAAAACTTTAAGTATGAAAGTTTTAGGGTTTTATGTCTATTATCTTTTGCGAATGGCAAAACGGGCAAATGACAGATGCCAATGACAAGTACTTGCGTTTTTCAAATGGAACACTCTGTATATTTTTGGCTAGAACGATAGCTTTTTTTCTTCTGATTCCATATATAACATATATGTTGATATTTGGTTCAGTTGTTTTTGCGCTATTTAATTTTAAAATTGCATTGAGCAAGCCTCATCATTCATATATGAGAAACCAGCACAGATTAAATTAAGGGTAATGTAAATGCACTTTTTAACTTGAATAACGTAAAAATAGCTGAACCAAATATCAACATATATGGTATATTTGAAATCAGAAGAAAAAAATGTATTATTCTAGTCAAAAATATACAAGGTGTTCCATTTGAAAAATGAAAGTGTTTGTCATTGTGACAGTTGGCACCTGTCATTTGCCCGTATTGACATTCGCAAAAGATAATAGACATAAACACCTACAACTTTTATATTTAAAGTTTTTTTCCACCTCGTATAGCTAAAGCTGTAGATAGGAGTCAAAATATAAGGAAACACCCTGTACAGGGTCCCGTACAATATCGTCTATCTATTTTATTCGGACAATACCAATTTTAAATCTTATTATAAAAATACATTTTATTCGTTACAAATTAGAAAACAGCTACAGTACGCTCTAAATCTACATTAAGCTAAATGATTTTTATTTTTGAATTTCAAAATTTGATTAAAATTATGTACCAAAAAAATGAAGTACAAAAACTAACAACACTAGACTCTTTGAAAGATTCAAAATCAGGCACAACAATATCTACCTAGTACCTAATCAAAAACAAAATTACCATCAAGGTACCTATTCCTTAAAAGTAAAATGCACCCAGGTATTTTTTAATTTTTTCAAGGAGTTTCTCTCCTAAAGGTTTTTTCACACCAGTAGGAAGAGCATTAAAAAATCTTATTCCAGAGTGATCTAGTCCTGGGACTATGTAACGAATAGAGATATTTTCTCTATTCACGTCCCTTCTCTATTAATTTCGAAAAGAAAGAAGAAGACAGCAAGTCCAATAGCGATAGAGATAACGATCTCTATCCGTTCATAGTCCCAGTGCTGAACCCCTTCGTGTTCTTTCTAATCGATGGTAGCTAGGTACCAGTTGGTCACGATTTCTGGTTGCATATGACTGGCCATCTGCATGAGTCAGGAAAAGTTCCTTTTTTTTGACATAGATAAGGCAGTTCAATATAAAAAGACAGGGGAAAGTCAAAATCGGTAAGCTTCTGAAGCTATCCTTACAGCAGTCTTGGTACTTTGAATCTTCTATTACTCTTATGCACCTTAAAAATTTGCTTGGCTCTTGGGTGCGACCCCAGACCTATTCGAGGAGAAGCAGCCATGGTAAGCTGTAAGTACAGTAGAAATAGAAACTTTCTTTGAAAGGATTCTTATGAAAATACCATAGAGAACACACAGCGTCTGTTTTTTGTAACCTCAGCAAAGCTTTTGACTGTATTTCGCATGGCATTTTACTTGAAAAACTACCATACTATAAATTTTCACTAGATAGTATACTTCTCATTAAATCATAACGTGATACAACTGGACAAGTACAGAACAGCTCTAGCGAGGCACAGTCAAGGGCTAGGCGATGGTTTCCAACTAATAAACTTTTTAAAAATGTAAATTTTTTAGGTGTAGGTATCTCTTGATCAAAACATCCTATGGGATGCCCACATGGAAATAACAAAAAAAAAATTGAGTGATAATGTATTTCTTTCGAAAAACCTATCACTGTGTCTCGTTAAAAGCTGTAAAACAAGCTTATTTTTCTTTGTTCCACTCCCACTTAAGTTACGCATTGCTAGTGCTAGTTTGAGGCCATGCCAGTGGTGCTCAAAATGTTTTTGCTATGCAAAGGCGAGCTGTTAGAGTGGTAAATAGCAGGCTTAAGTTAAGTTACTGAGAGGAGTGCAAACCAGCCTTTAAAAAACACAGAATATTAACATTCCCATCAGAGTATAATCTGCAAAATCTTGTTTATGTGAATCTTTATTGATATCCACAACCATAACACAAAATATAAAAATAATTTAAGACCTAACTATTATAGATTGCAAAGGTGTAAGAATGGTTCAGGATACCATGCTGACCATGCTGTTAAACTTTTTAATAAACTACCAGAACAGGTAATTAGCCTAACAAACACTTTATTCAAACAAACATCTGCTTATTAGTAGTAATGCCTTCTACTCCCTAGATGAATATTACAACTCCACACTCAGTTGGTTGAATAACAAAATACAATCTGAATAAAGTCAAAGATTAAGGATTAAACTTGAAATTTATTAAGGAGTTTTAAAAAAAATAAATGCAAACTATTTTCAACCAGAACTAAATGCTAGCACCAATAAAGAATTTGAATTTATCAGAAATGTAATTTTAAAAAGTTTGGCGCTAAGGTTGTCCACATGAGTCAAGGGTCCAGATACACTGATACACACCAAGAAATTTAACGTCTCATTATTATAAAACATATCCTAATTATTTCTCAAGAGGAACGATTGCTGTGATTAATAAAAAAAACAAAGCCTTTAAGAAATATAAACACACTCGATCAACTTGTGATGAGTGTCAGTACAAAATACTTAGATCACAGTCAAAGGCTTCCATTAAGAAAGACTATGATGTTTTCGTTCAGACTGTACAAAATAATATCTTGAACAACACTAAAGCATTCTGGTCTTACATAAAAACTCAACGTAACACAGCTGGCCATCCTGTGAAAATGAGTTTTAACAATGCCAATTCAAGCGAACCTAGGATCATCGCAGATTTTTTTGCAGATTTCGTCCAGTCTGTATTTACTGTACCCGACCCTGCAGTCACTAAAAACCCATTTCCATGTTCTATCAACAATATGGTCCTTCTAACATAGAGATTAACAGTGATATTGTACTTCAGAAACTTATCGGACTGGACGAGAAAGAGGGAGCAGGACCAGATGATAATCCTCCAATTTTTGTGAAGAACTGCTGTCCAACTTTGACGTCATCTCTTAGTTACCTGTATCGGCTATCTCTCGATTCGGGTCAGTTCCTGAACCTCTGGAAATCTGCCTATGTAACTGCAATATTTAAGGGGGGTGTCAGGGGAGACATATCCAACTATCGCTCCATATCTGGCCTTGATTGTATGTCCAAGGTCCTGGAATCTATTGTTGTTGACGTCAAATCTTTACAAGAGTCTTTCAGAACACCAGCATGGCTTCCTGCCAGGGCGTTCATGCCAGACGAACTTAGGTGTTTATTCCCATTATTTGTCTACCTTTATCGACTCTGGGGGTCAGGTTGATTTGATCTATTTTGATTTTAAGAAGGCTAGAGATGGCAAATTCTTGAGCATTTATTTTGAGAGAATTTTCTTGGAGAATATTCAGGAACATTGGAGAATTTCGAAGAATATAGCTTCTTAACATCAATTGGAGCTTTTTGCATTTTTTTGGCATCTAAAAATCACAAAATTGACATAGAAATTTTGTTTTCCTTATTTTGTTTGAAATGTTTCCATATCAAACTTCTAGGTTTCATTTTCGAAGAAATTTCCTCAAAACTAGTCAGAACTAATATTAAGGGCCGGTTTATTCATCTTCTGATAAAATGTCAGGTTTGTAATCACTAATCTCATTGGTCCGCCAGTTATCCGCCGACCAATAGAATCTTAGAACAGTACATTTATGTACAAAGTTACCAGCAAGTTAATCTGAAGATGAATACCTAAACCGGGCCTAAATATGT